ATATACACAAGCCAATCCACATGGGAACCAGCACCAGAAAGGCCCAGTTTGCTTGAAGGAAGTGGTGTAAGGGACCGAAATCCAACAGAGAGCAGAGCAAGCGCCATTGTTCCCTCTCGGACCCCGCCACCACATACAGCGTCACAACCCAGTGACTGGGTTGTTTTGCCCTGGTGAACACCTACAGCTCCTCCCCTCGTACATAACAGGTGCAACAAGACAAAAAAAAAATTCTCAAACTGAAGAACAGATTAAACCCCACAGCAAATACTTCTAAGTGACCAAGAAATAGCCAACCTATCAGATGCACAGTTCAAAACACTGCTGATCAGAATGCTCACAGTACTGGTTGATTTTAGTCACAAATTAGAGGAACATATGAAGGCTACACTAAGTGAAATGAAGGAAAATGCACAGGGAACCAATAGTGATGGAAAGAAAACTGGGACTCAAATCAATGGGTGGACCAGAAGGAAGAAAGAAACAACTAAATAGAAAAGAATAAAGAAACAAGAATTCAAAAAAATGAGGAGAGGCTTAGGAACCTCCAGGACATCTTTAAACATTCCAACATCCGAATTATAGGGGTACCAGAAGGGGAAGAGGAACAGCAACAAGTGAAAAACTTATTTGAACAAATAATAAAGGAGAACTTCTCCAATATGGCAAAGGAAATAGATTTCCAAGAAGCTCAGAGAATCCCAAAGAAGTGGGAGCCAAGGAGGAACACACCAAGGCACATCATAATTACATTCGCCAAGATGAAAATGAAGGAGAGAATCCTAGAAGCAGCAAGAGATAAGGAGACAATTACCTACAAAGGACTTCCCATCAGACTGTCAGCTGATTTCTCAAAAGAGACCTTACAGGCAAGAAGGGGCTGGAAAGAAGTATTCCAAGTCATGAGAGGCAAGGACCTACATCCAAGATTGCTCTATCCAGTAAAGCTTTCATTTAGAATGGAAGGGCAGATAAAGTGCTTCTCAGATAAGGTCAAGTTAAAGGAGTACACCATCACCAAGCCCTTATATGAAATGTTAAAGAGACTCATCTAAGAAAAAGAAGATAAACAACATGTATAGTAAAATGACAGCAAACCCACAATTATTAACAACCACACCTAAAACAAAAACAAAAACAAACTAAGCAAACAACTAAAACAGAAACAGAACCACACAAATGGAGATCACATAGAGGGTTAGCAACAGGGGAGTGGGAGGGGGAGAGAGGAGGAAAAGATATAGAGAATTAGTAGCATAGATGGTAGGTAGAAAATAGACAGGGGGAAGGCAAAAATAGTATGGGAAATGTAGAAGCTAAAGAACTTATGACACATGGACATGAACTAAAGCGGGAAATGTGGGTGGGAGAGGGTGTGCAGGGTGGGGGAGGAATGAAGAGGAAATGGGACAACTGTAATAGCATAATCAATAAAATATATAGTTTTTAAAAGGCAGGGGAAGTAAGGCAGCCAAGAGATTAGTAGGAGACTTCTCGCAGACAGAATGAGGACTCAGGCTATGTCAAAGCCCAGGGGCCAGGGCCGATCATCCCCTTTTTCTATAGCCCCCCAGGTTCTTCCCTGGGGCCCCCGTGATCATGCCTGTCTTACATCATCCCTCCCCTGAGGAATCTTACCTGTCATTGGCTAACTGATCAAGCACTGAGATCCTGGCAGGGTAAAGTAAAAGGATCAAAGGCGGCGCCCCTGCCAGGGAGATAAGTTTTGTCTCCTTAGTGGCTTATGGTCTAAAGGTCGCTCACTCAGCCTCAGCCATGGGGGGGTTACAGCTTCTGAAACCAGGCAGGAAAGTTCCCAAGAGTTTTGTTTTTTAATTTTAATTTATTAATGAGAGAGAGAGAAACATTAATTTGTTGTTTCACCCGTCCATCCACAGACTCATTGGTTGATTCTTGTATGTGCTCTGACCAGAGACTGAACCCACAACCTTGGCATATATCGACACTGCTCTAACAAAGTGAGCTGCCAAGCCAAGAAAAGGTTTTTGAAGATCATTTTCGTGGTCAAGTAACTCGACCTCCCTAGGCCTCAGTGTCCCAGACCTGACAGAGTACAAGCTGGTGTCAGATTTCAACCAGATCTGGGAGACCAGAAGTTCTGTGTTCCCCAAACTTCGGTTACACACATACTCCACTTTCTGGCCAACCCATGTAACACCCAAACAATATTATTTTTCTTTAAGTGAATTTCTCTTAAACTCAAAACTTAAAAAACAAAGTTTATTTTGAAACATTAACTAGGAAAGTATCATTTATCATAAATGGAAGACAATATTAAATTTTAGTTAAATGCTGAAACCTGAAGAGAGTTTACGTTAAAGGACTCAAGACCTGGAAAATTTTAGCTTAAGGTAAAAAGTTATAAATCTAGCAAGTAATGTGTATGTTAAAGCTTTTGTTTCAGAAACTACAGATAAGGGCCATCCTGGCTCCAGGGAAAACAGCCAGCCTCCTGGGGCACTGGCTAGAGATTACCGCCTGGGGATAAGTTGGAGGCATCCAGGCCTTTGTGTTCCAGGGGAGCAGACCACTACCCTCCGCTGGGAACAGCTAACTGCCCAGGACAGGAATGCTGCAGTTTTACCCACCCAATCCTCCCTGAATTTCAAAGTCCTCACTGTACCTTGTTTACCCACCCACCCACCCACCCTTATAAAAGGTCTGGCCTGGAAAGAAAAGACCAAATGGTCTGTTAGGGTAAGAATCCACCATCTTCTTAGATGGCTGGCCATCTGAATAAAATGCCCATAAAGATCAATCACTGTCATTGCTTCTTGGGTTTGGTACTGACAGGCAGCCCAAACTTTGGTGTCTTTTCTGGTTACATTTAGAGTCTGGGCCTGCTTTCTGTTAAAAGTGCAGGCAAACAAGTTTTAGAAATATACTAATATTAAAAACTTTACAGGAAGACTAAAAGAGAAGTGAAAAGGGAACAATCTCTGACCATATGATTTATCATCATTTGAGCCTGGGTCTGTGTAGTGCCCAAAGCACCTGGTACTTTGATGTTCTCTTTAACACAGGTAGGCTGATCCCTCCCCACGTTGTGTAGTTTGGACAGTCTATATTCCACAGTTTTTCCCCTTTGAGAGATGTTCCACTCAGAGATGTGGGCCCGCTGACCAGGAACTGAAGCAAGTAAATAGTGTGTTTATTAGCTCATTACTATCTTGGGTTTCCAGCAAGAATTTAAGTATATCTAAGTACATCTAAGTATATAGTGGGGCTAGGTTCCACTTATTTGAAACTGTCTTAAGCAAAACTAAGGAACAGTAAGTTTGCCTTTGGAGTTTTGCATCTCTTCTTTTGCACCCCCTAATTCCTTACTCCCATTCAAGTGCCCAGACATTATTTTGCCTTTTGCTACTCAGAGGTCTCCCTGGAAATAAGACATACCCAGATCCTTCCCCTCATTCCACTGCCCCACCCTATTCTTTTATTCAGCTATTAAAGCTGATTGAGCTATTTCATACCAACATGTGAATGACTCAAAATTGGCTTAATGCTGTGACCATCCAAGGGGTATTCAAAACCGATTTTAAGAACACTTTTTAAATTATCTAATCTGTCAAGGATCTTCTCTTTCAGTCATCTACCCCCAAAGATTACCACACAGGCCTAGTCATTTTTTAAGATCAATCATTTTTATGTGGTTCCACTCTCATTCAGGCTATTTCTGCCCTCAGCTGGATGGCACACATTCCTCCCCACATCTCCTGTAAATGTTTTTCTATGCAGATCATCAGTGTTTCAGGTATTGCATGAGTCAAAAGTCAGTCTCAGTTTTGCCCCAAAGGCCTAGGGTCTAAACCCCTGAAGCCTGGAGTACAAGGGGTTGGATATTTTACCAGACCTGTGCATCTGAATTTTCATTTTTATAGCGAAGGCTGCATTTAGCCTGAGTCAGACAATCCTGCCCCCATCCGCCAATGCACCAACTCAAAATAATCAGTTTTGGTTTATTATTATATGTAAAGTCTATCCAGCAGTTCTAATACTACTTCTTCTTGAAAACAGAAAAGCATCTGACATTCTAAAACACCATGTGTTGGGGGAGGGGTGCGGGGAACACACCTACCGGAAGTGAACGGTGCAAAGATCTCCTGTACTGCCGATTAACCATTAACACAGACTGCTTTGTTCCGTGTAAACAAAGGCCCAGTGAGCTATGCCTTCATTTTCCACAAACACACCCTCTCATTTCTCCCCACTCCATCCCCCTTCCGTTCAAAAGTAACTCAAGGTGAAAGCCCCTGGGCCCTAATCATCCCGAAGGTCCAGCCCAGGACTTCCTGACGACGAAGTACTACCTCTCGGCAGATGAGCTGTGGGGTGCTTTGGACAAAGCAAGCATGCGTCTGAGAAGCCGAGAAACCCGAATCTTTGAATCCTTAAAACAATAAATGAAAGAAAAGGGGGCACCAGAGAATTCCTTTCTGAGGTCTAGGATCCAAGATGCGGCAATGCCAAGGACTGACGAGAGCAGAGGAACAATAAAGTAAAAGGGTACAGACCCTCCAACATTCCTTCCAATGCTTGTGGTAACCCCGTTCCAGGTGAGAAATAATAATAATAATTGCATAGCAGGCAAACATCTGCACAACAAATTTTGTACAGATGTGGCTTTTGCTGTGCATCCTCCTTGCATCCAAAGGTCTGGAATGGAAAGGCAGGACCAACGCCGTGTTCCAAATTCCCTTCCGCCGATCCCAAAGGGAGCCTCGGCGCGGCTACGGCTACGGCTACGGCTACGTGACCTACCGAAGGTCCCACCTTCCACCAGCGACAGGCCAGCCCCGCCCCATCCGGGCAGGCCGGGCGCGCGCAGTCTCGGCGGCTGGGGTCCCAGCGCGCACCGCTGCTCTGCTCAGGGTCCGGGGAGGGACCGAGCCCGCCCTCCGCCTGCGGGGGGGGCGGGGGGGGGGGCGGAGCGGTGCTGCGCGCAGGGGCGGACCCCGAACTTTTCTCCAAATCAAAAACCACTGCAACGACAGCTGCAGAGCCTTCTCCAGCCGCGTCCTGCTGCCGGGTTCCTCGGGCCTCACGTTCCGCTCGCTGCGCCACCCGCCGCCATGGCCAAGCCCCTGACCGACCAGGAGAAGCGGCGGCAGATCAGCATCCGCGGTATCGTGGGCGTGGAAAATGTGGCGGAGCTGAAAAAGGGCTTCAACCGGCACCTACACTTCACGCTGGTCAAGGACCGCAATGTGGCCACCACCCGCGACTATTTTTTCGCGCTGGCTCACACAGTACGCGACCACCTGGTGGGGCGCTGGATTCGAACGCAGCAGTACTACTACGAGAAGTGCCCCAAGGTACTGGGCCCAGCTCCTCCGACAACCACGGAGGGGGTGATGTCCGAGGTGGACGGGAGGATCCCCCATGGTGACCCCTCCCCACGGGAGTCTCTCCCCGTGGGGGAAGCGCTCCCCGGAATCCGAGGAGGCGTTTCTGGGTGGCGAATGGCCAACGGGCCAGAGCTCCACCAGCTCCGTATTCACGCCGCCCTCCAGCCCTACCCAAAGCGTTCGGCTCCCGGGGACAGCTCCCGGGGACAGCACTGCGTCAGGACTCCCTCGCCTGACCACTTCACAATTTTTGGAGCATTGATTCTCCACATTTAATCAGGAGGTGCCAGGCGCCTCCTGTCTGTATGCCAAGCACAGCTCTAGGCCCGTAGCAGTTGAACAAATCCCTGCCTTGGAGAAGCTTAATATTTAGGGATAGGAGACAAGTATATAGGATTTGCCAAACGGATATAGCCCCTGGGGAAGGAGGGGAAGTTGGAGAATGCCCAGTGGTCTGGGGCTTCTCCTGGGTATTGCCCGAGTGTTGTGGTGAGTAGCAGTCCCACCCTTGGACAGAGCTCTGTGTCCCCCCCCCCCCTCGGTGTTCAGTGAATAGGGTGTGGTGCTCCTGGGCTTGATTCCTGCAGGATAGAGGCCTTTCTCCCGAGGCATTCTCAAGTAGGACCTGCCCCCGCAGCTGCGGAGAAAGGCCGTTCACAAACCCGCTGGTCCACTGCGCAGGGACTTCATGGAGGGTGACTTTGGGAGCTTAGAAGGACACGGCCTACCCCTGGTCAGTCTGCGAAGGTGGGGTGGGGAGGACTGAGGAAGACTGCAGGGAGCGGGTTGTGTTGTGCAGAGTGGGGGTGAGAGTAGCTCTGGCTGCTGCGGTGAAGTGGGTGTGAGTCAGTATTGGGAGGGGAAACTGGAACGGTAGTAGGAGGCACACTGGGAACGGTGAAAGACTGGTGCATCCTGGAAGCAGTGAGAAGTACATTAGGAGTTTTTTTAATAGGTAAAAACCGTGAAAAAGAAAAAGATAGTCCATAATCACAGCGCACCCCCCAAGAAATCGGAGCAAAAGAAAGTAAATTCTCATAGTAAGAAAGGGCAGTTGCAACAAAACTTTCCAATGGAAAGTAACTTCCTCACTCCAGAGGTCTAGGCCTCTATCCCAGGGACGGCTGTGTGTGTGTGTGTGTGTGTGTGTGTGTGTGTGTTCACTGTATCTTTTTAAAAATTTGCATGAGGGGACTGCTCCTTGCGCTGGACTTTTTTTTTTTTTTTTCAGTTTTTAAACTGGAGAGTGAGGTGATAAGCTATATTTTAGGACCTCGCCCGCACAAACCTCCCTTCCCCCACACACTCTTCTATAGCATTTAGCACCAAGCCTCACAGAACACAGTCCTCTTGTATGCAACTCCTCCCGTGGCTTATCTGGTACTTTATAGTTTTCCTGGTTCTCTAGCTAGTTTCTTCACTGGGTTCTCCTTCCCTACTTGAACGCAGGGATAAGCTAGGTATTCGGATAGTGACACACTGGGGATAGAACGGTGAACAAGATTCACTCCACACATGTTAATAAGGTATCTGCTCTGCGTCAGCACTCACCACAACAGGAGTCCCTGCCCCCACGGAGCATGGACTAGAGCCACTAAGTCTCCGCCCCCACCTCCCCTGTGCTACAGGAACTGTGCAGATGAATCCTGAATCGGGATCTCTGTCTGAATTGTTTTTGAGATTCCATTGCTGCACTTTCCAGATTTCCAGGAATTGCACATTCCATTCCTGCACTTCTAATTGCTCGGTGAACACACCTAGATCCCTTTCTATTTCCTCAAACACAGACCGTGATCCTTCCCAGTCCTGCCCCATCTTCTGTGTTTCTAATTTTCATGGCGTTGCCATCCTTACCCTCGCCCAGACGCAACACTTGTGTCTCACCTTTGACTTCCTGTACGCAGTCCTTGGTGGGCAGGTTGCCAAATGATGTTGGTTTCTGCAGATTCCATTGAAAATATTCCTCTGCTGTCTCACTTCTGTTATTGAGGCCGTGGCTGCTGATCTATGGAATAGACTTCCACCTGGCTGCCTGGGTTCCCAGAAGTGGTAAAACGGTCAGTGCACAGCCAAATTGGGACTAGCAGACGTATTTTGGTTGGCCATTGAGACATCCTCAAGCAATTTAACTTTGAGCGTTTTGTGGCGGTACTTGGGCACTACAGTTCTCGGCCCAGTATTCCTTGTTGTTATATGTGATCGATATTGCATAGGTGTTGCCTCTGCCTGGCTCCTAAAGGTGCCTGAGTTGGCAGTCCCAGCTCATTCTGTGCATTATAATCCCATCAAGTTTACAAAGCCATATATCTTGCCCTTTGTTCAGGTATCATTGGCTCCCATTGACTGCCTTAGTCCTTAATCTAGGATTTAAAACTCTTCTCAGTCCAGGTGAACCTGTCCTTCTCATCTTATCTCCCATTTCCCTTCTGGATTGACTTTGCTCTCCCACCACACCGAGGTGCTGTCCCATCCACGCCCTGTTCTCCACCTCTGGGCCTCTGCCCGCCCTGCACCCTTCACCTGGAATGCCCTTGCCAGTGTCGCCACGTTCAACTCTTACCTCCTGCAAGTCTCAGTTTTGTTGCGCCGTTCCACCTGTCTTCCCAGAAGTACCCGAGTCCTCTGAGTAATGTTAGGGATAAAACTTAAATTACTTTAAAAATAGTGGTTATCGTTATTTCCTCTTTATTTTATGTTTGCAGGCTTTTCTTGAAATCTCCACATTTTCTAAAATATACACAACTATTAGTGATAGCAGTGCATGCATGCAATTTCTAAGATGTATTGGAGATGCTGCATATTTTACTACCGGGAGTATGTAGTATTTAGAGATCACTGAGTAAGAGGATGGGAGAAAACTATTTTTCAAGGTCTTATATATCTCCAAATGTAAAGCAAAGTTCTTCCCACAGTTATTTTTTTATGAGAAAATAGGAAATTGCCTTAAATACATGTCTTCGTGAAGTCTCAGGTGACAGAGTCTCTCTAAATTATTTTAAGCAGCAACATTGTTTACAAAACCTTTACTTGGTCTTTGTATAGTGTCCTAAAATGTCTTAAGTCCTTGCTAATTTGTAGTCATTAAAATGGAGGCAAAGATACTTAAGAGATGTAGTCATTATTTCCAGGGGCATAATTTAACAATCTCAAGTGTGGGAAATAAAGTCAAGCCTCGGTTTTTGAAAATCTTGGTTCTCCAGCAATTTGGTTCTCAACCCAAGTTGTTCACAGAACAAAATGTCTTTCTTGATTGTCTAATAAAACTTTGGGTCTCTACCCAACAGCCCTTTCATGCTGATACCTGTGTGATCAGTCACGTGTCTCTCAGGTGACAGAGGAGATTTGTCCTTTGAACAGATCACTTTTCAGTTTTTCTCAACAAATTAAGTTCGAGAGCCGTGGTTCCACTGTATATACTGTGTTTATAAGCAAGCATTTTATAGATCATCAAAAAGTCAAAAGCAGTACACAATGGTTATTTTATAGCGATCATGAACATATAAACACCTGTGCTGATGTTATGCAAATGGGTATTTGTGGCAGGAGATACTGTTGCCAGTGACACAGTGGCCTTGTATACGAGGACATCGGCCATGTGAGTGAGCAGTGCCGTGCGCCTCCTCCCTGGTACCTGCCCAGGAAAGATCCCTTTTCCTGACTCACACAGAGGCGCCCAATGGACTGACGAGGGCCCTGACAACAGTGTCACGGATTCTCAGACAACGTGGATAAGGATGATGACGTGTTCTGGAGAATAGTGTTCGATGACCCACTAAATATGGGTGTTGACTATTCATGTGAAGACTTAGACTTCAGTTATTTCATTAAATAAAAGTGGGGAAAAGTAAAATTTCTAAATTGACATTTTCATATGATATTCTAAATATATGTATATCTAAAGAGTTACATATTACAATAGGCACTTGTTATACTGAACTCTTTTTATACATTTTTTAATATTTTGGGGTTGGCCAAATAATTTTCCTTTTGGTTCTTTTTATTGAGAAATGAGGGGAGTCCCTAAACTTTTAGGTGACTATATTGATGCATTTACAGATTTTTGTTGTTTTGTGTTTCATAGAAAAAAAGAATCGATATGGAAAAAAGATACTGTAAAAGGGGAAGATGAAGTTACTGATCTGTTTTAAAAAGAAATTAGTAAACTGCATTTGTCTTTTAAAAGGTTTTAGACAACCCTGACCTTTGCACCTTTCACTCAGCAATGATACTATTTACTTGGTACTTTGTCAAAGGCAGTTTCAAAGTTGATACTTCTATTGAGAACACACACCAATAAACTTGAGATAGTCTTTTTGTGGTTGCCAGTTCATGATTTTCTAGAACAATTTAATTCTAAAATAATTCATTGTGATATTACTTTACAGAAAGTAGTCATGGAGGAATACTTTGTAGCCATTCGGTGTATCTGGAAAGAGTTAATCTTTGTATTTCTTGGATGATTTGAGACGGTCTCAGCCAACCCCATCTGACTCTCATCCTATAAATATTTTACAAATGAGCAGTGAGCTATCACAGTCTGACTTCTCTCTGTCCAAAATATGTGCTTAATTTACAAGGCTCATGAACAGAAAGGAAAAAAATACAAAACGTTGAATCTAATTAGGTGGACGAGTTTACTTTTTTCTCCCTGGGGGTAAAAGACACAGAACTACTTTGCCACAAGTAGGATAAAATATGGTTTCCCAAAGCCAGTTGTCGGTAATGCTTTTATTTAGCCCTTCATACATCTATAGGAGTTTCACTGGGACCTGGGTCAAAGTCGCCCTGCCTGTTTGTTTTTTATCGTCGGCCTGTGTATTATGTTGACCAGTAAGGTTGGCCTCATCGAGTTAACATGACCTCTCATTCCTTTGTTTCAGAGGGTTTATTACCTTTCTTTGGAGTTTTACATGGGCCGAACGTTACAGAACACCATGATCAACCTCGGCCTGCAGAATGCCTGTGATGAGGCCATTTACCAGGTACATTGTCTCTGTATTTCTCGCATTCTCTCCCCTCAGATTTCAAGTTCAAGTCAATAACCTTGGGGATATAGCACCTCCCCTGCCTTAAAAAAATAAGGTGAAAATATTGCTTCTATAGACATGGCTATTGCAAACTATTAGAACTATAAACTACTGGTGACCTCTGCGTTAAGAGAAAGAAAGTTAGAGACCTAGTTTTACCTAATGAGAATTTTCATTTGCAATCATAGCTTCTGACAGCATTCCCCAGCAACTTACATCTTAGAAACTAGCATCTGAACAAGCCTTTTCAAAGTGCTCCATTCTGCCCCTGGCCAGTGTGGCTCAGTTGGTTGGAGCATCATCCTCTAACCTGTAACCAAAAGGTTGTGGTTACAGATCCACTCCCTGGCAGGGCACATACCTCGGTGTGTGCAGGAGGCAGTGATCAGTGCTTCTCGCTCACACTGATATTTCTCTCTCTCCCTAAAAGCAATGAAAAAAAAATGTCCTCAGGTAAAGATTTTTAAAAATTAAAAAAAATAGCCATGGCTGGTGTAGCTCAGTGGATTGAGCATGGGCCTGCGAACCAAAAGATCCGCTGTTCGATTCCCCATCAGGGCACATGCCTGGGTTGTGGGCCAGTTCCCAGCAGGGAATGCATGAGAGGCAACCATACATTGATATTTCTCTCCCTCTCTCCTTCCCTTCCCTTCTAAAGATAAATTAATAAAAAAAAATTAAAAATATAAATAAATAAAAGTGCTTGAATTTCTACTGTCAGAATCACAAGCTTTAGTTTAGGCTCCTGTCTACTTTCCAAAAATGGTCAAAGATTGACTTATTTTATGTCAAGGCAATATGTGAAAATAATAAGCTTTTAAATTTCCATCATTATACTTTCTCTTTTGCTAAGTGGAATGTAAAATATACTTCCTCCTTAAAGGGGGAGCCTAAGGTCTTAAACCTAATACGCTAATTTATTTTTTTAAACATATTTAACTGTTTCTCTCCTGAACTTCACGGATCTCCATACCAAAAACAAACAGTCTTTGACCTTTTTGATGTGGTTGAAAGGAAGAATGGGTAGTTGCAAAGATATCTTCTAAATGTGAGACTGTTCAAACTGCTCTTTTTCCTTGGCTTAGAACTGCCCGGTCATGTGGTCATGTGGTCAGCTGCTTGTCACTAAGGGCTGGTTTCCTTTCTGTGACTTAGCTAGAATATTTCCTTATGAAAGAACCAGGGCAGCTCTTCTCTACTTCTCTTTTTTCCTTCCCCTGATAACAGCTGAGAACAGTGCACTTCTCATGGCCTAGCAGCATATAACTAAGGTGGGATGGAGTGGCCGTGTCTGTTTGCTCAAGGCCTTTTTTGTACTTTAGCTGTAGATTTTTAGAATTTAAAAAAAAAACAAAAAACCTGAATGTTAGCATTAAGCAGTTGACTTGTACAAGGTCCCCAGTAAACTCTTGTCATACCAAGGAGCAAATTTGGAAGTCCTTTCAGCAATGAACAGAAGCAAAGCCCTTTTTAAACTCTTAGAAGACTTAATGTATTTCACCATATATAATGTACACCCGTGTTTTTGTGTGTATTATGCACAGGATTATTATACTCATGGTATGTAATCATTATACCCATGTATAATGTGCATCCCTTTTTTCCCCTCAAAAATTTGGGCAAAAATGTGTACGTTGTACATGGCAAAATACAGTCCTTACCAAGATGTGTGACAAAGCAATTTTTGGTGTAAGGGAAGGGATTCAAATAGGTGACCATGGAAACTGAGGCATCAACTTCAAGCAGGGCTGTTTCTCCTGCCTATGTTTTCAAGTGTATAAAGTATGTTTCCACTTTAAATAACATCTCATTTCATGGATTGCCTCACTCAGGTAAGAATGGAGTCATTTCACAACAGACCATCATCAGCTGAGCATGGGCTGAATTATGATCTAGTCAGCACAGGACAGGTCAATGGTTTCATCTGCCATCAACTTCGTCACTGTAAAATGAGCAACCCACAGTGATCTCCAGGGCTTCGGGATTCTGACGTGAGTCCTTAGCAGCCTCTGGCTGTGCGAATCCCAGCACGTTGGGGCAGGGAGCTGACTGGCTGCCAATTGCATCAGTCCCGAGGTCACACGGGCCTCTAGGCCTCCCGTGGCCTTTTGTCCAACCCAGAGAAAAAATAGAAGATTTGAGCTCTGTCCAGCTAAACCAGCGACTTACAGTCAGTGTGCCACAAGAATTTTTAAAACTTGCAGTACCTGACTGTTTCATGAGGGGCACTGACCTCTTTTCTCTTAGACTGTCAAATAGTGACAATAACCAACACGATACTAGCCATCTGGTGTGAATAAATCAAAATTGTACCTATTTTTGTGTCAGATCAGCAGAAAATATATTATTTGGTGTGTTACAGAATTGTATTAACTAGTTTATGTGTGCCATGAGATGAAAAAGGTTGGAAATCACTGAGCTAGACCAGGGGGCTGTGGTTTTCTTGACTGCAGTCTGGTCCGACTCATGGGCAGTGATTCACCGGCTGGCTTTGGGTTAACAACCATTGACCCTACTGAGTAAATATACTGTGGGCCTGAAGAGATGACCTTTACTCCATCCTGAAAACTCTGACCTCATACCTTTTGATAATTTTTAAAATTCTTTGGCCCAGTTAGTGTGAACTTGGTTCTGGACTATTTCTTAGGTTTTACCCCGACGGCACAAAAAAAGAATCTTAAGAAATAATAATAAGTTAACATTTACTAAGGAATATCTGCCCAGGAATAATATGAATGGTTTGTTTGTATGATCTCACTTAATTCAGAACAACCCTAAATATGGTACATACAGCCGCCCAGGGTCACATGGCTGAGAAGGAACAGAGTCAGTAATGAACACTGAGCGCCCACACTTCTCCACAAGCTGCTGCTATGCCAGTTTGAACAGTGTGCATTGGCCGTTGCCAGCATCTGCCGAGGGCATCTGATGCCGGAATAAGTTGCAAGGGAGCTGACAAAATTGCGCACACAGATAAGCCGGGATACCCAACCCAGAGCTTTAGGAAATGACTGTTCTCTCTGAAATGGCCTGCATTTGTATCCACATTCAGTGGTGTTTTCCTTTCATCGCCAGCTTGGATTGGATATAGAGGAGTTAGAAGAAGTGGAAGAAGATGCTGGGCTTGGCAATGGTGGTCTTGGGAGGCTTGCTGGTAAGTGACATGGTTAGTGTGTCATAGTGTTTGGCCAGTTGATGCCTTCTCAGATGCCATGCGTGACCGTGCGAAGAAGAACCAAACAAGCTTCCTAGGAGAAGTGCATAGTGTAACCCGGTTATAAATGTACTTGTTTTTGAGTTTGCACTGTGGTTTGATCTGTCCTACACAAACAAAAGAGAAGAGAACTTGAACAAAAGACACATTGCTTAAAACCCTCAGAGATGTTGCTTAAAACCTTAAGGTTAACCAGATCCTTCCTGTGCACTTAAGGATTTCCACAGTAGCCCCTTTACTTCACCGTTATATGGTCGCAGCTACTCAATTCATGTACCTGTGTGATATGAACTAAGCTGTCTGACCACTGTGGTGTTGTCTTGTGCACTTCACAGTTTGCTTTTCGATGGACTAGTAGGTAATGATACACTCATTATAGTATTGGTATGATTTAGTTGATTATTACTCTTGTTTGTATAGATGCAGTTTGAGTTCTTTCCTTTATTCAGGAAATGGTTTTTCAACAAATATAGAGGAAAACATTAAAGATATTAGCTCCATTAAGTTAAAACTATACATACCACCCTGGCTGGTGTGGCTCAGTGGATTGAGCTCTGATTTGAGAACCAAAGGGTCACCTGTTTGATTCCTGGTCAGGTTACATGCCTAGGTGGCGGGCCAGGTCCCCAGTTGGGGCCTGCAAGAGGCAACTGATCTGTTTCTCTCACACATCAATGTTTCTCTCCCTCTCATTCTTCCTCTCTTTCCCTCTCGCTTATCTTAAAATAAATAAATAAAATCTTTAAAATATGTATACACATACCTATGACCAAACAATTCTACTTCCTGGTTGTTATCCACTGTAAAAAATAAAAACCACCTCAAACATGCGGAAGGAGGCATGTGAAAAATATTGTTATGGTATTGTTTATAAAAATAAACTGTTAGAAATAACCTAATATCCATCAATAGCAAAAAGGTAAATAAGTAGCACAATAATTCATAGTACGGAGTGATGTGCATCAACCAAAAAAATAAAATTGATCTCTCACACTCATACATACGCAAATCCGTAGAAAAGTCTGGAATTTGCTCTTTTTGATCTTTTCTAGAGAGGAGGGCAGAATCGGGGGTGGCAGTCAAGGTGGCTGCTAGTCCTAGCTATAACATTTTTTATAAGGAGGATGTATTAATGTGTGACCTGTGAAACTTAAATTTAATAATAAAAGTGCACCACTGCACGTGTGTGTGTCAGATTGCATTCCATGAAAATATCTACCCTCATTTTCTTAGAAGTGATTCCATCTTCATTTCACACAAACCTCCAGGTTACTGGAAACCCATGTGCGTGTGTTTCACAGATTTAAGCCTCTCCCCCTGTGTTGCCTTAATATTGCCATTAGGACTAGGAAAACATTGCCTTCGGATGCTTGCTCCCTTGCGAAGTCAGCCATCAGGCAGTTTCGAAGGCTTTCCATGGGCCTGTGGGAAGATCAGCAGAGCCAATGGCATGCACCCCTAAGAATGGCCACCAGCCTGCCTGCCTTCTGTGGAAAGCCCCAGACCTTCAATATTTGTTGGCTGGGTTAACCCCACTCTGTACCTGACTAATAACCTCGCTCCTTCAGTTGGCTGAGAGTGAAGTGGCAGACGAGACTGAGTATTTCTCATTAGAGGACCTCATTTCCTACCTGACTGAAAACCTCGGGACCCCGATCTGGCCAGGCTCTAAGGATAATGTGATCGGGACCCAGGAAAAGACAAGTAGCCACAGCTCCAAGACAGCAAGACCTGGATCAGAGCCAGGCCGTGGGACACGGGGACTGGAAAACTTTTGTAACATTTCACTCACCTGAAGGATTGGCCACTGGCTTTTGTCAGTCTCTGTTTTGGGGCTCCACCATGAACCTAAGTGTAATCAACACTTTTCAATGTTCATTCCCATTTTAGATCCTACGGTACATTTCCTCATTCTCTGTATATTTCTTGGTTCAGATTCCTAGAGGGGGAATCTGATCAGTGTAAGTTAGCCCTCAGGTTACACCTGGCCACCAGAGAGATCCCTACCCAGCCTGTTGGTTGACTGTTCTGGATCAGGTGCTCTGTCATTAATGCTTTTGATGACTAATGGCGGAAAACCTAGCAAAATGAAAAGGGTTCAGCCACGTGTTGTCACAGAACAAGAAGTCCAGGAGATGGGCTGTTCAAGGTTACTTATTTGGCAGTGTAGCTCTGTGGGGACTCTGGGTCTCTCTGGTTCTCTTGGCTTTCCCCCAGGGGAAATTGATGGCAGCTGCAAGGAACATCTTTCGCTTCACCCAGAAGACTTCTCAGTGCCTCTCACTGGGTTGAATGTCATTGCACAGTCATGCCAAAACCAATAACTGGTGAAGGAAATAGAATTACTGTGATTGGCTCAGAGGCTTAGACTAGAGCAAGATTCACTGCTCATCCAGCCTCCCTGTAGCATAGGGCCACCTGGTACCTGAACGACCTTGGAATTCCATTAGCCAGAAAGAGAGTCTGCCACAGATGTCCATGTAGTCAGTCAGGTAGTCACTGGCCAGTTCTCTCCTGGAGCTGCCTTTTCAGGCAGGGAGCTATGGAGACAGCATCCCTTAGAAAGGGCAGTATGAGTGACAAAGACAATGACGGCCGTGTCCGGTGCAGGCCAACTTCTTTATGTCTTCTCAGATGAAATGCCAACATGTACACAGCGGTTATTTTAAATGGTAAGGTACTAAGTGATGTTTGTTTTCTTTTTACACATTTTCATATTTTCTAACTTTCCTATAGTACTCATTTTACAATTTTTTAAATGTTACTTAAAAAACGAATTCCCGCTATGCAGCAGTCTCTGTGCTTTAAAATAGAAACATGGTTGCTCATAGGAAAATGCTTTGTGGCTGTCATGCTTTTTAGTAAAAGACCTGAGAATTGAATCACCTTGATGACTCTGCCTTTTGGCTGTGTTTGGATTGATTTAGCCTGCTTCTTGGATTCCATGGCAACCCTGGGACTTGCAGCCTATGGCTATGGCATTCGATACGAGTATGGAATCTTCAATCAGAAGATCCAAGATGGATGGCAGGTATGTGAGCCATCTTTTTAAACTTTGTGATTAACATACTTCTTCTTGATGTTCCGGATGATTTATAGTTTACAGACATTTAACATGGAACTGCACCAATCCCCCTTGCATTTGGCTGACATGAGTGAATACTGCCGCTCTTCCCCCTTTTGTATGTAAGAGCAGAGAGCCTGCAGCGTCATGCACTGCCAGGTCCAGGGCATCTCAGGCAGTGCCCGACTCACGAGGGTGCTCTGGAAATGAAAGCATTTGTCTCTGAGTGTCTGAGTGTGGACCATCCACAACAGGTGACGTTCCTCTCTGCAGCCTGCTACATGGAGGAGCACATCTTTTGACTTTTCTCTCCCAATAACCTTTCACGGTAGGATCATGTTGCCATGTTACAGGTGAGAAAATTGAGGCTCTTAAGAACTGGAGTTACCCCAGATCACACCGCTGGCGAACATGGGTCTGTCCCCAGGATTCCAGGTCCAGGTTCAGTGTTCTTTTCTGTGGTCAGTCCTGTCCTCCTTAGCATGACTATTTAAAAGATAGGTAAGCCCAGGGTGCTGATTTTTTAATAAGGTGAAAGCAGGCAATCCTGTTAGCTGTAATATCAAATAAATCTGATACATGTTTAATATGTATCATCATAGTGCTCTGTAGATTTGCACAAATAGTAATCAGTCCAAACAAATGATTCTAGTTTTACTTTACTTTTATTTTATTTTTATCCTCACCTGAGGACATGCTTATTGATTTTAGAGAGGGGGGAAGGAAGGAAGAGAGGGGGGAGAGAAACATCGATGTGAGAGAGAAACATGAATAGGTTGCCTCTCTTGCACATCCCAAATGGGGACAGAACCCTCAGCCTAGGCATGTGCCCTGACTTGGAATCGAACCCACAACCTTTTGGTTTACTGGGTGATGCTAGAACCAACTGAGTCATACCAGCCAGGGCTCTAGTTTTACTTTTGTGTAACCAAACCAGGTTCTTGGGAATTTGTTTCTCATATCTTTGGGAACTCTTTGAGTCTACACTCAGCCCTGGTGTGGACAGTCTTCCCTGATACTAAGTGTGACTTACGCTCTTTCTCTCCCTACCTTTGTTTCACATTCATATACCATTGACAGAAAGATACTGGTTGTGTTTTCCAAAAAGCCTGAGTTCTCTCAGCCCCTCCCATACTTCCAAGCGTCGGTCTGAGGGCAGCACCCTCGGGTTGGATGGGAGGGTATAGGCTGGAGCTAATCCCGGGGCAGAGGAAGGACAGTAAGCTCGGTGCTGCGCCCTGCCACCCTCTTCCCACTCTCGGTGTTTGGACACTCGGGGCCAAGGAAGGAAGGAACTGAAAGATTTGGTGTGATGCAAGAATGCCCCCAAGAAGTCTCAGAAGGAGAATATCAGGAATACGTTAAAAGATAAGCTTCCAATTTTGCTAAGGACCAATGTGTCTTCACCTACTTCTCAGTGAGTCGGGAGTCAGCATTGTGTGGGAAAAAGCTCTGGGGCCCTAATTTGAGATTTGATTTCTAATTTGAGGCCTAATGGCCACTCGTTACCCTTACAAGGTGTGTTGCCTGGACTAGGTCACCCAACTTCTCTGAGCCTCAGTTTTGTCATCTGCAAAATGGAGGTGCCAGCTTCACAGAATTATTATGAAAATATGCAAAATGTACACAAACAGACACTCAGTGAAATGTTCATTTTGCCTAAGGAAAGGAGGATAATTTAATAAATTGTGGTATTATATAATAAAATATTAATGTAGCCATTGATATTATTTTATTAATTTTAATGAAATGGGAACTTATTTATGTTAGTTGAAAAAAGGAAGTATAAAATCATATGGATGGTATGGCTCAACTGTCCAAAGCCAGCCAAAAAAAATAAAGGGCAAGAAAAAAATACATGAACTGTTCAGTAATAATTATCTCTAGGAGACAGGATTACAGATGACTTTCACTGTCTTCTATTTATGTTTCACATTCCGTAAGAAGCGTGTATTTCAGAGTCATAAAAAACTATGAAAAGAGAGTAGCTGGGTCCCTCCCCTAATAAGATAACTTAGGGTTCTATGGTGAGAAGCTTCCGACTAGGCAGGCATTTCCAGTGTGGCCAGTGTTTTGACACGACTCAACCAAGCAATACGTGGTATCCATTCTCTTTGGGGTAGTACTCATTACAACCCAAATGTCTAAGGATTTCATTTCATATCTTTTAACTACTCTTGTGTAAAAGATTAAAGAGAAACTCTGAAAATCAATCTAAAAAAAAAAAACCATTTTCATTGCATTTTCCCCAGAATTTTATGAAAGGTCACACCTACTACCTTTGCCCCTTTTAAATGGTCTTTATTCCAAGAAACCATCCCTTCTCTCCCGTCAGACCCGGATGATGTGTTATCCAATGTTCTTAAAGAAAGAAGAGAGACCAAGTGGCCCCAGCCGGCCTCACTAGCCATCGTCACTTCTCTTACTATGCCTTGAAATTGAGTCAGAAGCCCGCAGAGCTTCATTTGCCATATCCACTGTTTCCTGGGATAAGGTTTCAGAGAACAAACATGAAATACGTCATACCACAAAGAAACTATTTCCATAAAAAAACTGGAACGATCTTCCAGGAAAGCAGCGTGCCTCTTCAGGCTGTGGTCACATCAGACACGTCCTTGCCCTTACAGTGGCAGATACAGAGAATTCTAATGAAAATTATGCAAGCTGGGAAGATTTTCAAAGATCAATGGACTTTTAATTGTTGAAGTCTCTTTTCAAGGAAGATTTGCAGTCATGTGTTCATAGTGAAACCCCCCTAAAGAAAATAATTTTATTGCTAAAATTCTTGACTGACTGTCAACTCTAATGGGGATCAGTAGCAGTTCTCTGTGAAAATTACTGGCCTCCGGGAGGGAGTGGGGACGGGATGATTTCAACAGCCCCACGGTGCGTTTAACATCACACACCAAAGTGCTGAGTTCCTACACACACAGTAGGTATCTTGCAGTTGAACCAGTGTCTGCTGGACCCTCTGTCTCTTAGAGCCCCATGCCAAGCCTTCAATAACTAGTCATGCAAAGTTTCCACTACCTAGCACTCTTTTTGGTTACCATTGTTGCATTCCCCGTGTTTCCAGAAACATTTTGCGATTGTTTGTACCAGCAGAAAGCAAAGCTTGTTGACTGCTCCTGGTGTTTGCTCACTGGTTCTTAATGTCCTGTGTGTCCCACAGTTGAGGGCAAAGCATTTCTTAGAATTCGGTCGCTGACAGAGCCACCTGAGCTGACCTCTGCTTCCACACTGGCTGGGACACAGATTGCATTGAGTAATTCCTCTAGGGAGATGCCAAGTCCAGGCTGCCGCCCCCACCCAGGCCAGCACTCTGCCCCTCACTCCGCAGAGCCTCACTGCCTTGGTCTCAGCTCTCTTCATCCGGATGTTCAGGTCCAGCAGCCGGCTTGGATGTAAATGAAAGCTCTCCTCCCACCTCGCCCCCTCCCTTCAAGTGGCTCAGCATGTTAGCGCATTCAGGGATCACTGGCTCCACGGAAATCTAAATTTACAGGCCAATTTGTTGATTCATTGGGGAAAAAAAGCAAAGTGGAGCAGAGGTTTATCACCATCTGGCAGCTTCTGTGGATCCAGTGAGGGCGGTGAAAGGGGACAGTGGTTCTCTCACTTCTCTGATACGCTCAGACCTGCTTGTGGTTTGAAATGTCTGTTTTCTCCACGTACCTTAAAAAACAAACTTTGTAAAATCGAGGAAAGTATTAAGTGATTCCTTGCTAAATCAGGAGACTAAAATATAAAGAACAGCAGCTTAGAAATCTGTCCTCCTACAGAACTCATTAACCCAGTGAAATTAAAATTAGCCCTTATTTGACAGGGAAAAGGAAAAGCAATATTGGATGGCATTACGAGTAATCAGCCGACTGGTTCCTTGTCACAAAGAGCAAGGGCAGCCTCTCACTTCTGTAGGAGGCTGGGGATGGACTGGCAGTGGGACACCTTGGAGCCCATGGTCACTTCTGGAAGCATTTCAAGCCGCTTGAGGGCAGGACATTATGATCTTGTTGTGTTTCTCAGCAGAAGATACATTGCCGGTTCTCCTGTGTGCTTGACTTTTGACAGAAAACTGTTTCTGCCTCATCATCTTCCTGTTTCATATAGCTTCAGGTGTGTTTTACAACAGTCCCGAGTGCTGAAATGAAGCAAGCGGTCCTTTCTTATAGATCTTTCCTGTTACAAGAAAGTGTTCACATTGCCCAGTATTTGAAAACCCCAAAGCTGCCGTTGCCTAAGTGCAGCCTGAGGTATTTTGCAAAGCAGGATGTTTTTGATCCTTTCTGGACATTCTCATTTATTTGTCTGAGAGTCTAGCTATAACACATAGTTTCTTATCAGCTGATAAAATTCAATTGTGTCCTTGTTAAAATTTAATTTTTTGGTTCTCTTTATTGAGGGATAGTGCAAGTCTAAGTCCTGAGTTACAGTTACTGACTTTGTGTCACCGTGTAGCTCCTGCTGCACCGTGTAGCCCTGGGGGGTTGTTAAAGATGCAGAACTTCAGCTCTGGCCAGTGTGGCTCAGAGGATTGAGCAACAGCCTATGAAATGAAAGGTCACTGGTTCCATTCCCAGTCAGAGCGCATGCCTGCGTTGCAGGCCAGGTCCCCAGTGGGGGGCGTGCAAGAGACAGTCAGTGTTTCTCTCACACACCAATGTTTCTCTCTCTCCCTTTCTCCCTCCCAACCTTCTCTCTCTAAAACAATAACTAAAATCTTGAAAAAACATAAGATGCAGAACTTCAGGTCCCATCTCAGATCCACTGAGAATACACATTTTAACAAGATACAAGTTGCCCTTGAGCTCAAATCTAGCTCCAGGCTCCCCTAGGCTTCATCCTCCATCTGAAACATCCTCCTGCCTCCAGCAGCTCTCTAACTTCCAGATCTTCTACAGAGGATGTTGTTTCTGTGGGTCTGCCTTGCATTCATCATTGTGCTGGTAGTCGATATTGATGGGTGGCTTTACTGGCTCTCGATATGAAGTCGTGATCAGTGTTTGAATAAATGAATGTGTATTTGCTTATCTGGCTGTTGACATAAATATTGTATTTCATGTCAAAAAACATTAGCTGTGTTCGCTTCTCTCCCCACACTGTGCCCAGGGCTAGCACTGAGCCATAGTTAGGTAATCATGAGGCCCCCAGCCACTGTGTCCTAGCTCATTACAAGATATCTCCTTCAACTAAAGCCAAGTGAACAACCACATTCGAATCTCATTGACGAGGATGCTTGGTACTAAAAAACCTTACTAATTCCTTCTTGTCAGAACACCATTCCATTTTTTTAAATATATGTAATACGAACAGGAAAATGACAATAAACTCACAACTATCAACAAATGGACCTAAAAGAAAAGAAAAACAGTGAAAACAAAAACTAAGCAAACAGCCAGAACAAGAACAGAATCAGAAAAGTAGACATCACAGGGAAAGATTTCAATGGAGACGGGCAAAGGCGGAATGGGCGAGGGGAGGTACAGGGAAGAAGAAACATAATTAGTAGGCATAAAATAGAGGGTGAGAGATAAAAAATGGTATAGTAGACAGAGGACTCAAAGCAATATGTACAACCCATGGACATAAACTAAGGGGAAGGGGATGCTGGAGGGTTGGGGTGCGGGGTGGAGGGGGGATAAAGGGGGAAAAATTGGAAAAACTGCACTAGCATAATCAATAAAATACTTAAAAACAAAAAATATTAGATCAAAACTCTATGGGGATTAAATTAAACAAAGACAACAAAATGTCTTCTATACCTGTGCTAAAATCAGCTCCGTTAAAGGAACTTTCTGTGAACAGTGTTTTCTAAACTGATTCTGTGCATCGTGGGCACCAGAATCTTGACTGAAACCATCATGTAGGACGCATCAGGCCCAGGGGTGCAACTGTCGTCACCCCTGGGGGCCTCTGTCTCTTGCGCAAGCTGGACAATCGTCTTCATCAATGTTAAGACACAGGCTCTAGAACACGGACCTAAAGTCAAATTGTAGCTGTACCATTTCTATTTGTGCAACTTTGAGCAAGTTACAGTTTTCTCATGTTGAAGAAAGGAATCATAGTTTCCTGTGAAGATTAACTGCAATAATACATATAAAACATTTAGAGCAATACTACCAAATATTGTTGTTTGTTGGTTTAGGCTGTGCGACAGTAACTACCATGAATTGAGATTGATAACCAGCTCACTACTCAGAGCCAAAACAGTATTCTCCAGTTGATTCCGTTAAAGATATTTTTAATTTGATGTCATGGAAATGGCGAGGTCCCCCTCTCCTGAAAAACACATTCTAAGCCATATCCTTTTTGCAGGTAGAAGAAGCAGATGATTGGCTCAGGTATGGAAACCCGTGGGAGAAGGCCCGCCCCGAGTTCATGCTGCCTGTGCACTTCTATGGAAGAGTAGAGCACAGCGAGGCTGGGACCAAGTGGATCGACACCCAGGTATTCAGAGCATCCCCGTGCTGAGCACATTGCACGGTACCGCACAGTGAGTGTGCAGCACAGAGTATAATGTGTTGACGATACTGAGCGCAGTATGTCGTGCATTGACTAATAAAGCACATTTTTATAAATAAATTTATTACTCCTCTTAGTGCAGTCCAGTCATTTTGGAGATAAGGGAAGGGAGGCCACGAGATAAGTGACTTACTCAAGGTCAGGAGATTCACCAGGGTCATTTTGCAGTCAGCTTTACCAAAAATTAATCAATTCTACGATCCCAGTATGTTTAGCTCTCCATTTTACAAAAAGTTGTTGATACCAAGATTGAATAATTTTAAATGTCCTTCTTCACCCCAATTCCACATGTACATTTATTTACTTATAACTTCTCTGGGGTATTTTTAAACTGAAGTAATTATTTGAAGAATTACCAAAGTTCCTGTTCATTGCAAAGTCAAAAATAATGCAAAATATTGCTAAATGTACTCTGTTATCTTGTGCCAAATCACTCTTACAGAAAGATGCTGGTGTCAAGCAAGTGTCCTTGCTTCATGGCCACCAGATCGGAGTGTTACCCTGCCACCGAACCGTTCTGTTTTCAGCACCTCAGTGATGGTTTATGCTTTGCTGTCTTCATACTTCCTGATAAATAACCTTTATTAACTGCTGGGCTGCGCCGTCCAGTCAGGAGCCTCCACCTGAGATGTTTGTTTAATAGAGATGGCCTCAGGCTGGAAAAGATGCTTCACTGGTTGTTCTTTAAAAGCTTAAAGAAAATGGTAAACAGCCATTAATGTTGTTCTCACATAACAAAATGGGAGATGACACTCGGCATTGTAACACTAAGTTCCGCGGGTTTGTAGATTACCCTCCATGAATAATGTTTCATTTTGTGTCCTAGAAGCACCCAGAGCCGTGTTGTGGCTGGCTTTTTAACTGACAGTCTGTTCCGCTAATTCAGGGAGAGCTACTCACCGTTCAGAAAAATAAATCTTTTTAAAAAAGAGTTTTCCTAGCTAAACTTGAATTTATTCAGCTTATGAAATAACAGATTAGAAGCTAAAAATAGGTCATAGTCTAATGATAAAAGGAATAAAGTAACACTGTGATTTCAAGGTAGTCTCTCTTTTTTAGTTAAACAGACAATAATCTGAGTTGTACTTGGTTACAAATATGTACCTCAGGAGAGCTGCAAACAAATCAATTGTTATTATGTCCAAAGAATTCATACATGTATTTGGTATTAAACTAGCAAGTATTTGGCGTGGATTTGGTGTCTAAAACTTCCAGGGACTTCTGATCCGCTTCAACGTGTGCAGTTCTACACACTCAGTGCTGGAAGCATTCTGTTGGTGCTGTAGGTCCCACTATGGAACTGCTTTGTGTTTGCCAAGTACCTCTAGACATTTTCGTAATATATCCAGAAATTCAATTAGGGAGAGTGAGTTTTCTGTGCCCACAAATGCAAGGGTATGGGGCCAATGTAATATAAGGTGAGTGACCCAAGCAGCACAAAACTCTGGATCTATGCAGGCCATCCCTGATTAGCCTTAGATTTGTGGCCGGTAGGGTCAGGCAGCATGAGGTCACGCAGCTGTGGACAGCTGCCAATAAACTGAGCAGTTAATGTCATTCTGTGTCGGTTCAGGTCCTCTGGGAAGCAGACTGCATAGAGAGTGAGAAGTGCAGGCGATTCAATTAATGTCATTCATCTTCCTTAGAGTTTGACTCTGATAAGGCAGAAAATAGAAATGAGTCTTTCCCCACATAAATTTTAAATTCACATGAAACACAGTTCCTCTTTCTGTTCATCTCTATTTCAATGACTGTCACTGAGATGGAGCTAGATTTTCCAAAGCTGACTTCCTAGGCCCATCTCAGCTAATTATCAGCTGATTTGTCAGATCACTAAAGTAACTCCTCTCTGTGCAATTGGGAAAAATCTAGCATAGCATTTTAAACATCGTGTGTAATCTATCTTCATAAATTTCCTGTTCCATTGATTTTTACCATTTTTGAAATCAGATTATTAAATAACCTACACTAAAACTTATCCTGATTACTATTTTTAATAGGAACAGATTCACATTTGTCACTTTGTTTGTACACCACATTTTATCATTCTTAGAGTAGTGGCTTGATCTGAAAATAAAAAGATCTGCATCCAGATCAAGGCAAGAAAAACAGAGAGAAGGCAACATGGAAAGATACAGAAAACCATCCGTCTGGATGGTTCAAGCTTTCCAGATTGTTCCAGTGCGGGGAGGATCCACAATGGCCCCTAATACCATGCCAAGCCCACCCCCCCGAGCCCAGCCCCAGGACCCTTGGTTTGGTTAAGGCCGTGCACAATTCCAGTTGGTGATAGAGCCAGCAACAGAATCCCAGTAGCTGTCTCCCAGCCTATTATCTGACCTGTCATCACCTTCTGGAAACAGTGAGCAGCTGCTTCAATTCAATCCAACAGGTGGTCCTGGCCCTGCCATATGATACCCCAGTGCCCGGGTACATGAACAACACCGTCAACACCATGCGCCTCTGGTCTGCTCGGGCCCCCAATGACTTTAACCTCCAAGACTGTGAGTACAGCATGGGCTCTTGTTTGCCTGCATGTGAGCTTAATCTTCCTGATCCGAGGACTGAGTTAGCGCCCTGCTCTAGAAGATGGCATAGAACAAGGATCTTGGGGACTAGGACATAATGGTTGCTTTCTGATGGCTAGTTAGAACCGAATTGAACTTGAGGAAAAAAGCCTTGAGCTTCTGATCTGAACTCTTCAGGGACTAAGCAGCTGTGTGGAGGACATTGTTAAAGCAATGACTTCATTCAGTCTAGCCTTCTTAGAGTCTCATATGAATCACAGCATAAAGGTTTGCAGAAACCCTTTTGGATTTTTAGGAATTGTTGGGATCCCACATGGTACACAGCAAGCAACAGGTGAGATCAAGGGACTTTGATGAGAGTGGCTGGCTTGTCTATTTATTCGTTTTTCTAACGTTCCCCTCAGTTAACATTGGAGACTACATTCAGGCCGTGCTGGACCGAAACCTGGCTGAAAACATCTCCCGGGTCCTCTATCCCAATGATAATGTGAGTAATCAAGCTTGCTTTCTCAGTGGAAATAGAAGCAGCTTATTTTAGAAGCACCTGTTCATTAGTTCTATAAAATACCGCTTTAATATTTTGTTTCTTCAGTGCAAAATAATCTCCATATCTCTTCCTGAATTGTCTAGATTTCTCCTCCCACCCAAGTAAGGAAACCAAATTTGTGCAATTCATGAAATCAGAATTGGTATTTTGCCCTTGGTTAGTGACCCATGACTAATTGGGCAGTTCTGTATGTGTGTTTCAAAACAAACCTGGGTATAAGAGATGAGTTAAAGAAATTCCATCCACACTTCTCCTGGAGGTTTCCTGCCTGGCCTCTTCCCGTCTGTGACAGGGCTCTTCCAGCCTCTGGCCCCAGGTGAGGTAGGGTCATGGACTTCGGAGCTGACCCAGGAGCAAATACTTATTTCTTAGGCCACTTACTCATCTCTTTAAACTTCATCTTATGGGTGATTATTTCTATATACTAAGAACAGCTTAGCTTTAAAAAAAAAAACACTTGGAATTGGATCTTAGATGACTGCTATGGATTTTTATTTGGTTTAAATATACTTAGTTCTTACTTCCATGTGAGTCAAATCATTTTCTTGAAGCTATGATGATATTTTTTTTAAAGATAATCTCAGAAGCAACCAAATTAGGTCTCTGATCTACAAAGATGGCACAAAACAAAGATTTGAGGACAAGGACATAAATGATCTGTAGGCCAGATGTTCACTTGCTGTTTAAAGCACTGTCTCTAGGGAGTAAGTTTGCTGCCTCATCTTCAAGAACTTAGTGGTATATGTTATTTTTTCTTTGGAAGAAATATTGTGACTTCAGTACCTTTCAGAGAAATCTCTCACCTAAAAGCAAAAAGTTGATCTATTTCATTGTCAATTGAAGTAAGAATCCTTCTAAGTCTGGGGCCATACTGCCTAGTCAAATCCAGTCTGTGGGATTGTTCAACTTGAAGGGGCTTGAACTTCATCCTTCTGTCTTCAGTAAGGACCAAACCTAAGTTTACTTGGAAATAATCATCTACAGCAATTGACAGCATATACTAAGTTAACATGAGGTACAAATTGGACTAAATTCATTGAGTAAAAGCTAGCTCTCGAGGTTATGCTTGTTTTTAATTAAAAGTTAATAAATCATTTTTGTACCGTAATTACAAGAATAAGCTCATTCTTTCTCCCCACCTTGGCCATCTAGCCCAGACAGTATTCTTCCAAGAATCTGTCCTCCCTCTACAATGAGTTAGATATTTTTGTCTTGCTTAAAGCTCTTTAAATGCTTCTGATCACCTATAAGAGAAGTGCAAAATTTCAGATGTGTTCTCTAAGTTCTTCACTAATGCAGTTGTGAGTTCTCTGATGCACCTGCCACGATCTCCCAGTGGCAGTGAGTTCCCAGGCGTGCAGAACAGCTTGCCCTGTCTATTCTTTCTCACCGGATGGATGCCTGTGGGCTTCTCTGCCTGCAGAGGAGCAAGCACTCTGGCCTCTGTGCTCCTCCGACAGATTCCTATTCACCTTTCAGGGCTCAGATAAAAAATACCTGAGTGCCCAGTTTCCCAAAGTACTGTGTATATACTAAAGTATAACAATTTTTTTAATTATCACATTTTATTTAAAGCCTTATTTACACCTCTCTCTCTCCTCACTAGTTTGAACTTCTTGATGTCAGCAATTATGTTGAATTGTTTTATTTCTAGGACATTAAAAATTCCCTAACTCAATAAATGTCTCATTAATTTTGGACGGATTTGTAGTGCTTGTTTTTAAGAGTAATGATTTCATTATAATTTTCACCATGATACATGCCATTAGGAAAAAAAATGTAAGCAATATGAAAGAGTACCGTAAGGAAAATAAAATAAAATAAATTCCAAATTTCACCTATAAAATCTCATTGGTGATATCAATCCAGTTTCCTATTAATGACTTTCAATTTTTATTTTGGTTTTTAAATTTTTGTCAAACTTATACATGCACACAGTTTGAAGAGAAACAGTCCACTTCCCACTTCCCAGAAGCAACTATAGTCCCTAGCTTTTAATTGATTTTCTGAATTCTTACCTCCATATTTCTAATAATGTGCTGTTGTTTCTTCTTGGTTGGCCTGTTTTTACAACTGTGCATTGACTCCCCACCACAGAAGACGAGAATATGCTCACTCCCTCACACGCACTCCCACCCTCAGTACACACACGCGTGTGTCCTGCCTGCATTTTCTCATCCTGATGATGTAGAATTTTCACTGGCGCCTTCATCAGTGTTCACAGTATAATGACCGGCCAAGTGCTTCTGGGTGCGACCTGTGCATGTGTTGTGTCCTCATGAAATGATTATGTTTCCTTGAAAATCTTTTGTTTTTCCTGGGGTTAATTATTGTTTTGTTTGCTTTGGTTTTGAGCACTTTCCCCAAATTTATCCTTCATTCTATCTCGCCGTAGAAATTTTCTCTTACTGCATTCAAACACGTTCGGTATGCTGTTAACGTGGTGTTTTTGAAAAGCCCCTTTCGGATCTCTGCTGGGCGACTGCTCCCCTGTCATCTCGTGATCTTCTCTCCCTGTTTGGCTGTGGACCCCTGTGCTCCTTGAAGTTCTGGGATCATTTGTCTTCATGTCTTTTTGTTTGTTTGTTTCTTTGTTTACTACCTTGTTTTGCTAGTATGCCTGCTCCAAGAGGTGTCCTGGGAAAGGATGTATATAAGGTCAGTCTTTTTGAGGCTTTGCATATTGGAAAATATCTTATTCTATCCTCACATTAGTAGTTTGCCTGGATGTAGAACACTCAGATTTTTTTGTTCATGTTCTTTCAGTTTTCAGTATTACTAAGAAGTACGATGCAATTCTTAGTTTAAAAGAAATTTTTTTTAACTTTTAAATTACAGTTGACGCAATTCTGATTCTCTTGATCTTTTGTTTGAATCCTGCTTTTTCCCTTTGAAAGCTTCTAGTCTCTCCCTCTTCCTACTGTGCCTCCCACCCCCACAGCTCCCACTGTCAACCTCTCCTCTCCTTTTCCCAGCCAGCTAGTCCCAAGTGTACCAGATTTGGGGACAGGATGGTTTGGTGCGAACCTGTTTTCACCTGTGGGGCCTGGGTATCCTTTTAGTCTGGGGACACAGCACTACAGAACTAATCCTTTAGTTTTCTTACCTTTTTCTCGTGTTTATCCTTTCTCTGTCTTCTTGCTCCGCTTTCTGGGCAGTCACAACTCTCTCTCCCAACCCCTTCTGTTGGGTTTTTCATTTGTGCTATCGTGTTTTCACTTCCAAGGAATCTTTTTTTCTCTAGATATTTTCTTAAAGCATCTTAATCTTATTTCTTGAATACACTATCTTTTCTTATCTATCCGAAGATATTGGTAGTATTCTTATAATATTCTTTTTTCCTAATCTCTGTGCCCTTTAGGTTGGCTTTTGTTTGTTGACTATTCTAACCTCCATCTTTCTTTTACAATGTTTTCTTAGATGTCTAGTGATTCTTAGCTGCCAACTGAAGGTTAAGGGAGGGCCGTCCTCAAGCTTTGGGGTAGCTCTGTGTCCGTGGGTGGGATTTCTGTCTGGGCGTCACCCCACCGTGACCTGGTGGGGCCATTTCCTGGGGAGCGCCTCGTGTCAGTGTGTCTCCAGGTCTCCCTCTTGGCAGCCCAGAGTCTCTAGAGAAGACCTGCAGCTTCTTTCCAAGTAGAATAATATTGACCGCCTGTGTTCTGATACCTGGTCGGGAAAAGAAGACTGGCAGTCTCCACATTCAGTGCATAAACTTTCACTTAATCCCCTCCCTCCCATTTTCATTATGGGGTGGTACCCCACCCTCCCCCGCACCTGCTGCCCTCCAGGCCAGAGACCCTGTTTTACCATCTCCACAGAAACACCAACAGCTTCTGCTTCTGATGGGCAAGGAAATGGCCCCACTGCGGGAACTGGGATGGGGTCTGAGTCTACCGCTTCCTAGATGGGCTCTCCACCAACCCATGCCCCACCTTCACCCCTCCTTCCTCAGGTGACCCCGTGCTGTCATATCCTGAGCCTTTGGGGACTTTGATGTGTAAATCGAGTTGCTTTTTGGCTCTTTTCCAGTAGGAAGGCAGGATGGTGCTTTCCTGCCTCTTCTGGCCCAGTTATCACTCACCTTTTGTTTCAGCTTCTAAAACGTTGTTGCCGTTGTCCTCTCTCCCATCCCCTTGATTCTTTATCAGTGTGCCCTTTTAATATCCTGTTACTGTCATTTAAATGGAGTTTCAGGAAAGAGCAAAGGCCAGTAATGCCTGGTGTCCAGCCTGCCGTCTTCCCCTGGATGTCCAGGGGGCTTTCACCTTCAAGTTTTCTGGGCAGACACCAAGTTTTGGCCACGCGTAACAGTATGAGCTGCTCACTCAGTCTCTCTGGCTTGAAGTTTTTTGAAGGGAAGGAGCTAAGACTGAAGCAGGAGTACTTTGTGGTGGCTGCCACCTTGCAAGATGTCATCCGACGTTTCAAAGCCTCCAAGTTTGGCTCCACGGACAGTGCCATAACCGCATTCGATGCCTTTCCAGATCAGGCAAGTATTCGCCCGTGAGTGCAGGTAGGGCAGCTGAGGGGACGAGGACTTCCTGTCACATTGACTCCTCTACTTGGTGCTAAAAGACTGGAGGAGGTACAATGTACTGAAGCGTTCAGCGGAAGGGGGCATTTGGTTTGGTCTTCGCCCAGCATGTACGAGGTCAAGGAAGCCAGAGCTGGGCCACCAGTCACCTTCACCTCGTTGTCTTTTCCTCCCGCAGGTTGCCATCCAGCTGAACGACACTCACCCTGCTCTCGCCATTCCTGAGCTGATGAGGATTTTTGTGGATATTGAAAAATTGCCCTGGCCCAAGGTCTGAATAGTTTGGTCCCTTTTTCCTTCAATTAACGAGGATGTCTGTGGTTGGGGGAGTTTGCCAAAAGCTCCTTTTGTGGTTGTTTAAAATAAGTTATTGTTGCTAACTTTAGCAGTTAGAGGTAAACTTTGCCCTCGTGGCTGACATTTCTCTCTCTTCACTGCTTTACAGTGAGTCAGACTAAGAAATAAATAAATACACTTCTAATGGGACTTATCTTTTTTTTTTTTTTGTCTAAAGGGATTCTAAATTAAGTCTCTAACCTCAGGATACAGCTGATCGAAAGTGTTCCATTGCTTTGGAAGTCAGTATTTTAAACACATTTTGTGCCATCTCACAGTACTCCTTAAGTTTTTATTCCTCAAATTTTATCTATTTAATAAATAAAAGATATATTAGAATAGTAGAGAAAATTTACCAGCACGCTGTCTGAAGTTTTATCAGTCATATTTCCTAGTCTCTGGACCATTTAGGAACCTAGTGGAGTCCTGTGTCTCACTACATACAAACAGAATTCTCCTCCTGCAAATGCGCTGTCCGCTGTGAACAGGCAGGAGCTGAGGCAGTGTCTGGCCCCGGGGGGTGGGGTGTGTGAAGCAAAGCAGCCCTTCCTCTCCCTCAGGCGTGGGACATCACCCAGAAGACCTTTGCGTACACCAACCACACGGTGCTCCCAGAAGCCCTGGAGCGCTGGCCTGTACAGCTGGTGGAGAAGCTGCTTCCTCGACACTTGGAAATCATTTATGAGATAAATCAGAACCATTTAGATGTAAGTCATTTTGAGTGTTTCATAAGAACGATGTCTTGAGATGTGGGGTGGCTACCGTGTTACCTCTTACCAGACTTGAGACCTAAACATCTTTTGGTCGTTGGTACATGAAAAGTATCCAAGTGTGGGTGGGACCCAGGTAGAGACATCTTTTTGAAAATGCTGAACAGAGGAGTGGCATCTCCCTCAGGCTCACTGGCCCCGCTCCATGGGAGTGAAGTTCATATTCACTCCATCAGGGACTCGGCTTGGGAAGTGAACAACAGAATCTCCATGTTGCTTTAAACCTGAGTGAACAGTGTGGACTTTCTCTTCCTTTGGCTAGAAAATTGCAGCCTTGTTTCCTAAGGACGTTGACCGCCTGAGAAGGATGTCTCTGATAGAAGAGGAAGGAGGCAAAAGGATCAACATGGCCCATCTCTGCATTGTGGGCTCCCATGCTGTCAATGGCGTGGCTAAAATCCACTCGGACATCGTGAAGACCCAAGTGTGAGCTCCCATTCCGACGGCAGTGGGTCCGCCGTTGTCAGTGCTAGTACATTCAGGGTCGCTTGGGAGATGAGGAGAGACCCCGTCAGAATGTTGTAAAGTATTTTTTCTATATAAAGTCCCTTCTCTTAAAGAAGAGGAATAAAGGCCTTTCTGTCTAGATAATCCTAGTTCTAGGCTTAGCAGCCAAACCAAAAAAAAAAAAAAGTGTTCTGCTGAAAGTTTGGTTTATATATAAGTGCTGAGAAATCATATGGAGGTGATGGGATTTGGGGCTTTTCTTGTTAACTATTTTGAATTGCACATGGATTTCTATTTAGATTGACAGCCATTTCCTCCCTCCTCCTTTATTTAATCTTTCTAAGCCTTCGCTTGGCTTGTTGAATACAACTGTGAACTTCACCCTGCATGCAGGAACCTTCTGTTTCAGCCAGATTCAGTGATGTCTTTTCTGTCTCCAGATTCAAGGACTTCAGTGAGCTAGAACCACATAAGTTTCAAAATAAAACCAATGGGATCACTCCAAGGCGCTGGCTCCTACTCTGCAACCCGGGGCTTGCAGAGTTAATAGCAGAGGTAACTGGGAAGTGCGGAGAGGCAGGGAGGTCTGACGGGAATGCCAGAGGCATGAGTGCAGTTTGCAGAACCCGTCTGTAGCAGGGCCGGCTTCATCAGCCCGTGATGCGTGCAGTCCCATGAAGCTCTGGGCTTGATTTAATTCTCTGCTGCAGTCATCTTGAAATTCTTAATTTTTGAACGAGGGCCCCCACAAATTATGTACCTGGTCCCGGCTAACAGTATTCATCTGGCACACAGGTGGAAGATGATAACCCTATTTAGCAAAGAGGATAACGAAGGTCATATAAATAACTGGTAGAACCTGGGTTCTTTGTCACCCTCTTTAGGTAGATTTTCTGTCTTTGACATTTGCTGCCATTGCAACTATGTTTAAGACACCAGCAAAGTGGTCTTCCCACACAGCATGCCTGGCCTCTTCTGTGAGTGAGGCCGTTCTGTGTGTTGTGTGGTAGGTGAGCCATCCTGGTGTGAGTGAGTGTGAGCACTCAGCACAGTGGCAAACTGCTTGTTTGGGCTTGATTGCCATTCATGACTAAAGTCGCCTCTTCTTTAAACTGAAAGAAAATTGGGGAAGACTACGTGAAAGACTTGAGCCAGCTGAGGAAGCTGCACAACTTCCTGGGTGATGACGTCTTTCTCCGGGAAATTTCCAATGTGAAGCAGGTGAGGCTTCTGGCAGGGGCTCTTTCCCCGATACCAGCTTAGAGGGTTTATGCGGCAGATTTTAACAAGAGACCACGTGATGCTTCTCAGTCAGAAGGACTCAGGCACTGTGCACTGTCTCAACAGGAGAACAAGCTGAAGTTTTCTCAGTTCCTGGAGAAGGAGTACAAAGTGAAGATCAACCCTTCCTCCATGTTTGACGTGCAGGTGAAGAGGATCCACGAATACAAGCGGCAGCTCTTGAACTGCCTGCACGTGATCACGATGTACAACCGTGAGTCGGCCCTGGAGCCACCGGCTGCCCCTGGAGGTGGAGCAGCCCTGGGTGCCGCTCTCCTTCCTGGGTTCCATCCACTTCTCCATCTTTTTCAGGCATCAAGAAAGACCCTAAGAAGTTATTCGTGCCCAGAACAGTTATAATTGGAGGCAAAGTAAGTCAGTTCTGTTCATTGGGGATGTGGGGGCTGTAATCTCTTGCCATTTCTCCACTTCCTCATGGTTGCAGTATGTCAGCCTGTTTGACCTTCTTCCCCAAGGCTGCCCCAGGATATCACATGGCCAAACTGATCATAAAGCTGATCACTTCCGTGGCAGATGTGGTGAACAACGACCCCATTATTGGAAACAAGTTGAAAGTCATCTTCCTGGAGAACTACAGAGTGTCTCTTGCTGAAAAAGGTAGTGCCCTCATTGCAAACCATGTGAGTCCAGGGCAGACCCTAGGGAAGGGTTACAAGGTACAGAAAAATGGGGCAGCCGAGCCCAGGCGGCCAGTCACTTGGGATAGTGGGTGTCACTCTTGGGCAGAATAAGAGCCTCAGCTAAGAGCTTTTAAGGTGACCCAACTAACAATGAAATTGCTGTCCCCAGAGTCAACACCACACTATATATATCACAGCACACATTGGAGTGCACTTTCCTCCCACCTAGTTAGAGCTGGGGGCTGGAGGAGGTGGCCATGAAGCTTCGGTAAAGTGTGGGCTGCTCTACAAAAGAAAGGAAAGGTCTTCGGGTCCCAGCCCCAGTCTGCAATAGAACACCACTTCCCCGGCCCTCAGATAGTCCTCTGGTCACTCTGTTTGTTCATGTGGCGACAGGGAATGAGGACACACGTCAGGCTGCCAGAGCACGAGGCTCAGATGTGCCTCAAATGGGCAGTTTGAGATCAAGCATTGAGTTCCCACGTGGGGACAGCCAGACTGGCAAGAAGCCAACATCCCTTTCTCTGCAACTAGGACCTTTGCTTATTTGCATCACATGCCCACAAAGCACCATCCACGTTCAAATGCCAACCGTGTATTCACCCATTTCCCAAATTAAAAAGGGATCTTTCTCTTTCTGAGGTGTTCATGGGTCCTCCGATAATACTGTTTAAGAACTGTCTGCATGGAGGAAAAAGAGCCAGGTTCCTACAGATCCAAATGAAGACATACCTAACCCACAAATAAGCCTGTAGTCAGAGGGCCGGGAGCACTAATTTATGTGTAAATCAGACTGAGAGGTCAGAGGCTTGGCATCCGTCCTCAGACACACCTCAGTCAGACGTGGTTTATTTCCCTGCGGGGAAATGGAAGGACCGCAGATAATCCAATTTGTTCAGCTTGCAAAAGCAGGGTCAGGAGAGACTGAATTTTGAGAATCAAGAAAAAGCAGTTTCAATATATTGTTTAAAGTTATAAAGAAGAATATAAATAAAGCCATAACAAAAATCGGAAGGGAGAAGAGAAATGTGGCAACTTATATAGCAGAGTCAAAATATCTTCTTCGAAGTTAAGACCAAGAGAGAGTAGTATAAGCATATAGTTATTTAGCACTGTGGCCATAACCACCCAGACAGCACCTCAAAAATGGATACAAATGGTTGCGTGAGTCAAGGGGAAGAGTGAGATCTGTCCTTCACCATTTGAACGTTTACATGGATGCCATGTACTACTTTAGTGATCAAAACAAGCCAGCTAAATACATTCGTGAATACAATACAAGCTGATCTAGAGAGACAGTCACTTATTTAACATGCCTGCCTTGCTTGCAGTCATTCCAGCCACAGACCTGTCGGAGCAGATTTCCACTGCAGGCACTGAAGCCTCAGGGACAGGCAATATGAAGTTCATGCTGAATGGGGCTCTGACCATCGGGACCATGGATGGGGCCAACGTGGAAATGGCAGAGGAAGCTGGGGAAGAGAACCTGTTCATCTTTGGCATGAGAGTGGATGATGTGACTGCTTTGGACAAGAAAGGGTGAGAGAACAGCTCGCCCAGGAGGACACCTGTCCACCCAGGTGTCCTGCTGAGGCTGAGTCACATGAAATGTAGCAGCAGACATCTCCCAAAAATCAGAGGAGCAGCCTGGTCACAGATTAATCTTAGGAAACCCAGCAAGTAAAAGTAACAGGAGCTTGGGCCCAGGTGCATGGAGTTGTTGCTCTTTCTGTCAGCCATTGCCAAGCTGGTCTGATGAGCTAATCACTTCTCTGCATCCTGCGATTCTTTATTTTGATCAGAAGATGGGCCAGTTTTTAGCGAAGTTTTTGCCTATAATTTAAACCATCTAGTGTTCCTTTAGGATTGCAAAGAGATGGACTAAAATATGGGAAAGAATAGGTATGGATGTGTAGAAGCACCCGGGAATACTGTTTCCCTTAATATCTGGAAAGGTTTATTACCCTGGACTCCAACAAGAAATAAACAGTGCTGCCTAAAGGAACTACAGAGATCACAAAATTTGGAGGACGTCCAGTATAGTTCCTGACCTGGACGGTAAATTTTAACTCAGTAGCAACAATTTTGGGGATCTATGTGTCCAAAAGGTTCATTTAACACAGTGTTTGTTTGGAGCTATAACGTCTGCTTCAGAATGAATCTAATTATTGTATTTTACCAGATTAGACATTGCTTTATGAGTAGAATTGTATATCTACTGTCAAGGTCTTCATTTACAAGGAACAAAACAGATTTAAGTGGGAAAATGTCAAGATGTAGTCAAATATTGATACCCATACTGAACTTTATAATCACTTCTATAAACACCAGTATTTCTGAATGCATTTTTCACAGCTAAGATGGTGTCAAGTATGTTGATAATCACAAACACTAACAGAACCTTCTTATCACACCTTCACCCCACAGGTACAAAGCAAAAGAATATTACGAGGCACTTCCAGAGCTGAAGCTGGCCATTGATCAAATTGACAATGGCTTCTATTCTCCCAAGCAGCCTGACCTCTTCAAAGACTTAATCAACATGCTGTTTTATCATGACAGGTGAGTTCCCCCAAGAAGATGATGTTATTTGGGCCACGAAAAGGGAACAAGGACATCTTAAACCAACTACAACCCAACCATATAGATTAGCATAGGTCTATGATCTTATAAACTAACTTAGGCTTGAAAAGAAAAATTAAATCTCCACTGGCAATGCTAGGAAGCTTTAAGAATAATACCCACAAATCTGGTATTATTTTTCTCCTTCCACTGGTGTACACAGCTTTCAGATGCACCCGTATGTGACATTCTTACCTGTAGGATGAACCACCGAAAGCCTGAGGGCTGTGTAAAATTCTTAAGAATAGAAATATGAGTCTGGTAAACTGACTATGTCTGACATTAAACCAAGGAGAATTTTAAGTGGAATCTTAACATGTATCTGTTATTGAAGCTTTTCACCATTTTAATTTTTCCTTCCAATTCCACACACAAAAAACAGGTTTAAAGTGTTTGCAGACTATGAAGCGTATGTCAAGTGTCAAGAAAAAGTCAGTCAGCTTTACATGGTAAGTACTTTGCTGAGACTTAAAAAGTAAACCAGTTTACTATGGTTAATTAAAAATTTTTTTTTATTAAATCTAAATAGCAAGGCCCAATAAAAAAATGGAAATGAGACAACTATCTCAGTTCAGATCAAAACTTGACTTTCCCCAAATTCAGGCAGAAGTTGGGACTTGACGTTTCAGTCACAGTTATAGATGTTTTAAAGTAAAAAAAATTACAAGTAAAAAAAATTACAAATAATTTGGTATTTATTGAATACCCACTATGTGGCAGGCATGTTCTGGAAACTAAAGGTATAAAGCCAAATCAAGGACTCACTTACCCACTCATTTATTCAACAGAGAGGCGCCGGGGCCTTCTTCATGGCAGGCCCCGTGCTGGGCACTGAGACCCCAGCATGGACCGAGTCGAGGCCCCTCCCTCCCCTCAAGGGGCCTGTTTAGGGCACATCAAAACCACCCAGGTAGCTTTTTAAAGTACAGATACCCTCGGAGAACTTCTGACCCAGTAGTAGGTGGGATCACCATCAGTATTTTAAAAATCTGCTTAAATGACTCTAATGCTGGGCCATAGTTTATTATTTATTTATTTATTTATTTATTTAGAGAGGAAATTGCCCTTTTTTAATTTTTTTAATATATTTTATTGATTATGCCATTACAGTTGTTCTATTCCCCCCCTTCCTTCCCCTCCACCCTGCACACCCCTCCCCCATTGTTCCCCCCCCTTTAGTTTATGACCACGTGTCTCAAGTTCTTTAGATTCTATACTTCCCCTACTATTCTTGCCCTCCCCCTATTTATTTTCTACCTACCATCTATGCTACTTATTTTCTGTACCTTCTCCTCCTCCCACTCCCCTGTTGCTAACCCTCCATGTGATCTTCATTTCTATGGTTCTGCTCATGATCTAGCTATCCTCTTAGTTTGCTTTTGTTTTAGGTGTGGTTGTTAATATAGTTTATTGGGATAAAAACTGGCCCCCTGTTCTTTGACAATTGCAAAGTAAGTGCCTCTCCTAGGCCACCCATGGAGTGGGACTGAATGAATAGAATATAAATGTAGAGAAAGAAGGGAGGATTCATGGTTGAATTTTTAAAAAAAAAGAAAGGTAAAGGAACAAGAAAGACTACGCAGAAAAAGAAAAAAAGGAAGGAAAGGAAAGGAAGGCAAGGCCAGAGCCATGAGCACCTTTATCAAATAGCCCAGCCCTCTGGGTGGATGTGGTAAATCCATGGAACGGTTGACCATCTCTGACAGAAGACTGTTAGCGAATTGCAGGCACCACAGAAAATCAGATATGAGAAAAGAGAATGGATCTCTTGAGGTCGATGTCCTTGAGCCTTCTGGGCGTAGTTGCCTATGCACCCATAGTCTTTTGTCTTTTTTTCTATTCTCACCCAAGGGCATTTTATTTTCACTGCTTTAGAGAAAGAAGACAGGAGAGAGAAAAACATCAGTGTAAGAGAGAAACATCGATTGGTTGTCTCCTGTACTCACCCAGACCAGGGATCAAATTCACAAGCCTTCAGTTAAGGGACAATGCTCCAACCAGCTGAGCCACGCTGGCCAGAGTGGCCCATAGTCTTTATTTTTGCCCTTCAACCATTATACAGCAGAATAGTGAGAATCCATAAAATCACCACATTCTGCCCTTTGGACAATTAGTAACTACTTCCAACAGAAACATACATTTTTTTCAGTTCCTTTCCCCAAACCAAGGTGGTTCCTGCAGTCATTTCAGGTATCTCATTGGGGTTTTAAAATAGGGTCATTCAAAGCTCGTGCTGCTTCATAGCCATTATCTTCTGGTAGAGTCATAACCAGTCCCCCAAATGTGCATAGACCAGAATAAATTAAAGTTAATGGCCCTAAGCAAGGCCTGGAAATGTTAGAGTTAAGCCGAGAGGCTCACTTCCTGCCTCCTGAGCAATGGAGAGAGCAGGCACATATGGCCTTCAAGAACTCAAAGACAGAGAAAGGAAAATGGCCCCTTCTACCTCTTCCCTCTTGATTTCAACTCATGCTTGTATGTAGAAAGGTTTCAGGGGGAAAGAAGTAGAAACAAAGCAGAGCAGGAAAGAAAAATCTGACCACGGGCGAGCACAAACGTGAGTGTTGGATTTGCACAATGGCTCTCTTCTGTGAAAATGATGGCCCCCGTCCAAAGGGTGCCCATCTGGAAACCAAGCATTTGGTTCAGTCTTTCTTATTCATTAGTGCAAATTGCAGTTTTTACTCTTAACAATAGTTGTACTGTTGAGGCTTAATGACTAAACTTCCCAATCACGTAGGGTTGTTTTTCTAAGCCTCCATAATACAAAGAAAATGAAAACAGGAAGCTTTTATTTTATTTTTGTAAGTTTCTAGAGTCTGAACTGTTCTCTGCAGTACCTTAAGGAATGATGGCAGTTTTGATTTGTTTTTAATGTGTGTAGTGCATTGCTATTGGTTTTGAACAATGTTCTGGTCATTTTCAGTGAACTCTTAGAGTTCTTTACAAGATCATGGGCTATAAAATAAATAGTTTCTTATATTCTTATTGGAATAAAAATTATGAGATTTGGATGTTACATATTTTATTAAGAATAAAGCCTTTGTTTTGAAACCCCAGTGGTGTATTTCAGATTCAGTACAGCCGTACTGGGGCATCTGCCTTCAGAAAGAACAAAAAAAAGAGGAGTAGCCCTGGCTCGTGTAGCTCAATAGATTGACCGCAGGCCTTCAAACTAGACAATCGTGGTTCGATTCCCAGTCAGGGCACATGCCTGGGTTGCGGGCCAATTCCCTGCAGGCCAATTCCCAACAGGGGACGCACGAAAGGCAACCATACATTGATGTTTCTCTCCCTCTCTCCTTCCCTTCCCCTCTAAAGATAAATAAATAAAATCTTAAAAAAAAAAAAAGAGAGAGAGAAATAGGTCGATAAAGACTCTTACTGGATCTTTTCCCTGATAGCTGGCATTCTAGCATAATGTTTTTCAAATTTCGTTAGCCACGGATGATTTGTTAAATCACTTGATGTGGTATCTAGCAGATAATGAGTGTTGGTGTCCCTTTCTTTCCCCTGTAGTTTACAGGAAGGCATCTTCATTTGAAATAACACATGGGAAATCTGATTTCCATGCCAAAACACTATAATCATAGCAACAGTTATCAATCAGGTAATTTACATTCATGGCTTCTCTGAAATGAAAACTACTTTTTCTTCGTTCTTATGAGAAATATATCCTCAAAGTAGGAGAGAAGCACAGTCTGCCCTATTTGGTTCTCAGCTCTGAAACAAGAGTATGTATATTCACTACAGTTTACTCCTGTCCGTCTCCATGAAATGTGCCTTGATGTGGTTGGCCTGATGCTGGTTGGAAAGCTGGACGGGCAGTCAGGCTCCGGGCCACACGTGTCTGTGTTGTTTACAGAATCCGAAGGCCTGGAACATAATGGTCCTCAAGAACATAGCCGCCTCGGGGAAGTTCTCCAGTGACCGCACGATCAAGGAGTACGCCAGGGACATCTGGAACATGGAGCCTTCGGATCTAAAGATTTCCTTATCTAATGAAGTTAGCAATGAGGTGTACAAAGCTAATGGAAAGTAAGTCATAAAACGTCTGCAGGGGAAAATAGCTTCTATGGGACTTGAACATTTTTGCAACATTCTTTGATTTTATTTTGTTTAGTTAGCTAACTGTCCAGTTCAGCATCTCCGGGAATTGGGAGGGGAAAGTATGTACCTATACTGGCTAAAAATAAAGTGTCAATTTCCAGGGCTACCTGAGTGCCAAAGGGTATTACTTTATAAAAGATTGAGTCACAAGCCAGGACTTTCCCCAGTCAATCAGAAAGCTAGAAAACTGCTTGGAACTTTTTAATGGTATTTAAATTAACTAAACTAACACATAAATCATTTAACTACACATTTTTCTGTGGGATCCATTTTTTACCAAGTGTTGATTCTCCGTAGTGATTTTTCAGCATCTTTCACAAAGTAGACTGTGATAAGCTAAAAGAGAATGTTCCATACCACCCAACATCCCTGTTTCATAGTTGGCAGGTGACTTGGAGAAATGCCAGTGACTTTAGCTCATCCAAGCAGCCCAGTACATCTTACACACAAAAAATACACATCACAGGCGCTGTCCGGACCAAGTCTTGGCTGAAGGTTTCTGCTGCTCTCAGACCTCATGCCCACTGCTCATTCAGGAAATCTCTGCCGAAAAAGGACCTCAGTCAGATCACATGCTTTCCCCACCTCTTGGTCTGAGTAAGCCAGAGCAGCCCTCACTGCCTTTAGGAGAAGAAAGTCACATTTAGTAAAGGCACTCTTACCTCACAGTTTTTAACAGCATGGGGCTTCTACACAGCAGGTTGTGTTGGAAGCCAGAAGGAAAGATCACCATCTTGACCCTCTCTTTGTTCCTGTACGCGTTGTGTGCAATTTCATAGAGCTGCAAGGGGACAGAAGGACAGGCATTCAGAGGCTGACCATCAGAAATGTTGTTTTTCTAGTCTGATTTTCATACAAGGGTAGGAGACACCTGGCTTGAGGAGCTAGTCCCATTAGGTCAGATGTGTGGGGATTCTCCACGTTCCCACCAGGCTGCCTCTGCCACTGAGGACCTGAAAGCTGCGTGGCTCACACAGAACACAGAGAACCTCATCCTCCGCTGTCCACACTTCCTTGCGAAGACAAGGAATCCTGACGGGCGCACTCCGTTCCATTAAAAGAAACTGTGTCCCTATTTTTAAGAGCCGCTGCAGGAAAGACTATATAGAGGTTCCCGTAGTGTCCTGGGATCTTCCTGACACTTCCAGGTTCACAGACCCCAAATGAGGAACTAGGGTCCACCACAAATGCTCCTTTGAGCCGAGAAGCACAAGATAGGGATGCTTACTATATACACCAGGAGCATGGTTATTTAGGGGTGTAGAGAATCCCTGAGGGTGTCGGAGACCCTCCTCCCGGCTCTAGTCAAAGTCTGACTAGAAGAGAAGATGGTGAAATAAGACCAGTACGTCTCAGTCAGGACTGAGCTCTCGGTTTACCTGTTTTCCGTTCTCCAAAGGCACCGTCCTGTCATCCTCGCCATGAATGATGAGAAGCGGGGAAGACAGGAATTTTACACTAGGAACAAGTAGGAGAAAAGCATTCAGTTCAAGAATCATTCGTTGGGATTTCTCCTCTTCCTCCAAGTTAGAGCTTTACCGAAACATGAAGTTTGCCCAAAATAGACCTCTCTTTCCTTCCCTCCCAATAGTAACTTATTTTTTCTCTGGGTAATTTTCTCCCCTTCTATTTACTTATACAATTTAATTAGGTATCCGATTAACTTAGTCTGCTTCTATGTGACTTTTTTTAGATGAGGAAGAAAAACACCGAAATACTGAATTTATACAGAGTTACAAGAATCTCATCTTTTTCCTTACTCCACCTTATATCATAATATTTGGAATGTTATAATTAAAAGACTATAAAAGAACCCAAAACCCCAAAATAATAACTACTACAGGACAAAATGGAATCCTTTGTGTCCATTTATTTACTTTTCTCCATAAATGTACAGGATGAACATGCAATAAATAGTTTCGATTAGCTTCCTGATCAGCCTCCTGCTCTGGTAATTCAGTGAGGCTGTGGCATGAAGAATGTGTTCCTAACCCCAGGGACATCCTCAAATGATACTGCCCTCCCTGCACCCAGTCCTTGATACCCTTCTGTCCATGGCATAGTAGCTTGCTGTCTGTTACTCCTGAGAATGTTAGATCCCTTGAATGTATTGAAATAGAAAAATACTAATAATGACTACCTATTTGCTCAAATTCTACAACTATGAGAGGGTGACCTACCAAATTCTACTCGTTGGACTTGCTGTCAGGTTAGTGGGCTGGATAGTGGATAGGTTTTGGTTACATGGGGAATAAGGCCTAAAAGTCAGGGATCCCCCTAGAAATGTTAGGCTGGACCCTAAAGGACCTTTAAAGGGTTCTGATAGACTCCCTGTATGACTTCCTAGAAAGTACCAAGTCTGTGAAGTCATCAAATTAATCATGAGGAAAACATCAAATGCTAAAACTTTGTAGATAATTACCTTAGATCCTAGGGCCCACCTAACACTTCTTAGCTACTCTCTCAGACTGCCCATCTACCCATCCAGTAAGTCACCTGACAGTTATCCCCAGAATCCTATAAACACGCAATAATGGACATTTTTCATTATTAGCTTACTTTTCATCATTAGGGAAGACTATTTTGTCTTTTCTCAGGGCATCCATAAGTGTTTGTAAAAATCCTGGAAGTTTCCGGTAGATCTGTTTTTTAAAAAGAAACAAAATTAAAACTTGGCCTGCAGCTATATCCTTTGCTGTAGTTCCCCACCATGAACTGTGGTAATAGAGAGAGCAGTACTTTTCTAAATATAATAAACTTAAAAAAAACTGTTATGATTATAAAAGTGATTCACACCATTGTAGGAATTTGGAAAGTACAGAGAGGAACTGAGACGAAACACACCACACACGATCCCCCATCCACTGACCATCACTGTGTACAGTCTGTGGTTTCTGCTTCCTTCTTTCTTTACAACACAAATAGCACCACTAACTGATTTCTCCATATTCTTAAAGGAGCAGTGATACAATAGTCTAAAAATTGCTTCCATGATGAACATAATTAACTGGTTTGGTTGGGGAACAGAATATTCTGATTAATCAGAATATTAAGTATATAATACATAGATAAGTGGTTTAAAGGACTTGAACATTATAAACTGTTGAATTGATACTGCAATGTTTTAAAGGCATTTTAGTTTAGTTGTTGTTTTTTTTTAACAATGACCACAGGACTTCAACTACAGTTACATTCTAAACATACTCAATTCCCTTGTTAATGGCAAACTCCAATAAATAGAATTCTAGTTAAATTAGCTTTACCATATTTTGATGAAGTCAATAGGTAAATTGGTTTATATGCCCTAAAAGCATTTATTTTAACTGAAAATGAGGAAAGGACACAAACCCTGAGCAATATTACATCTTCCTCACAAACTTCAATTCTACCTCCAAGCTAGATTCCAAATTCATCCATTTCTCTCCATTTCCACTATCACCCAGCCTAACGCACCTTTCATCTCTTGCATGAATTACACCAACAATCCCAAGAGGCTCTGTGCTTCACATCCTCCAAAGGCGTTTGGATTTAACCGAAGTGTCACTTTGGCCTTCAGGGCCTGACACAATGCTGCCTTCTGCTCCTGGACCAGCCTCGATCCCACCTCAGGGCTCTTGCCCTTGCTTTTCCCTCATCCCAAGGCCTCCAGATTTTCCTACGGCTGCTGGCTCCTTCTCATACAAGTCTGGGCTTAGACAATAGTTCTTTGAGCAGATTTCCCAAACCAGCTATTGAACCTAGTCCCTCCCACCACCCAGTGATACCCTAGCACATTGCATTACTTTCTCAGGACTTCTCCGTATTGAAAATGCTCTTCCTTCTCTCCAGCCAAGTACATAAACTTCACAGTAGGATGAACTACAGCTTTCTAATTCCCTGTGGTAGTTCCAGAACCTAGAAAATTTCCTGGTACCTAATGAACACTCAATAAATATTTCCAGAACATGGAATGAGTCTCTTATGTAATATCCCTGGTATACACTTTAAGCTATTATTAGTCATTTTCATCTTATTGTGACTGGATTTCGTTCAGATTTTATTCCTTAGAATGGAGGAGAGAGGGAAGAGGGTTGCGAGATAGTAAATGGGATGTTGCCCAGGGAAGGAAGCGGGTACAGAACAGGTACTGTAGCCAGTAAATACGAACTGCACTTCGCAGTTTTAAAAAGAAAAGAATTGCGTTCACTGTGGAAACAGTTTCTGGATTGGGCACATCCTCCTTTCTGAGTGTAGAGAAATTAGTTAGTTGTTCTGATGTGATACTGGCTACAGTCTCCCACTATGAACTATAGCAATATAAAGAACAGTCACTTTCTAAATACAATAAACTTTGAAAAAACTTTTTTCTGATTTAAAAAAGAAAGTCATGCCCTGTCTGGGTTAAGTTGGTTAGAGTGTCCTCCCCATAAACCAAGGCTGCGGGTTCAATCCCCAGTCGGGGCACATACAAGAGTCAACCAGTGAATGCGCAAATAAGTAGAACAACAAATCAATCTCTCTCTCCCCCCACCCCTGACTCCAAACTCCCCCCTCTCTCTTTCTAAAAAATAATTTTTTTTAAAGTCATGCCATTGTAAAAACTTTGGTAAATTAAAGGAAATTTGGTGGAAAATGGCTGCGCAATCTGCCGTTGGAGCAATAAAGACAAACTTCTGCTTCACAGTGTCTGCATCAGCCAGCTGTGACCAGGAGCCTCGTGGTCTCACTGCATTTGTCTGGCCTGCACTTTCTGCCTGGTCTCAGCAAATGATTTGCATTCAGGTGCAGTCTGGACATCCCAACAGCCTCTCCTGTTCTTTTTTACTTTTCCTGCCTTTTACCCATATTAAGGACAAAATTTCTTGTTTTGTCTTCTTTCGTCTTTGTCTTCGGATTCCACCACCCCGGGAACCAGGAGTTCTCTGAGGGATATTCAGTAAGAGAAGCCT